CACGGAGGCAGTTAAGTTAATAGATTAATCGCGGGTTCGACTCCGAATTGGACCAATTTAGGAAACGAAGTTCTCTAAATTGGCTCTGGTTTGTAAGTTCTGGGTAACCTCAGGCGTAATCTCGTTACTTTAGTACTTGTACTTGTATTAACAAGGTTTTCCCTTAGCTTGGGACCGAGTGAGGGGTGACTATCGGGTAAAATTATTATTATACTACAAAATTTGATTATCGACCCATATCGGAATAACAAATTGGTTCTAACTTAGTAATTATTACGGCTTAAGAGGTTTTCTTTCCTAATGTATCATTTGTTACTATGCGTGCGGAGAGGAACACTAAAAAAATACACATTGTATCGTTTGTAATCGACCCTTGAGTTAGTAAAATTAAAATCAAAGCGGTCAGATTAGCTTCATGCGGCTTGAAAAGACTTGCAATACTCAATTACGTACACGTAGTGTAACGAACAATGCATTTTCAATAAGGCCAGCTAGTCAAAAGATTTTCTGTTGAATAGGTAGCTACAAGAGCGAAAAATAAAGGTTAGTTATTGCATATTTAAACTAAATTATTTATACAATCAAAGCATATTTAGCACCTTTGGTGTAATAAAGTCACATTTGACAACGAAAACAAAATGACAATTTTTAAGGAAAGAGGTTTGACGATTCTACAAACGAAATAGCTCGATAACTTTTATGCTTAAATAGGAGAGTTATAAAATTTCACTATTTGTTTGTATGTGTGTAGTTCGCATTATTTTCATCACTTTCATGTGATAAAATTACTTTTGACGTATTATTACATGTGGCTTTATTATGCCAAGGAAAGTAGAAATTGTACCCTCCAATTTTACATACTTTTTCACGTGACTCAAAACAATTCTTGCAAAGAACTGCGAGCAAAGCACCAATTTCAAAATTAACCAACAACAAAAATAATACTGCATTTGGAAAATGTTACTTTCGTAATCTCACGTTCTGAACTTTCAATTTGGACTTTGTTAACATCGACCGAGACGCGATTGTCGATTATTTTACCTTTCCCGCTTGTACCTGTGCGTCGCAACATTTTCTCAATCTGTCATAACTCGGCACTCCTCGGCTTACAATGCATTCATTATAACGCGTGAAAACGAGACGAAACATACGCTTTTTCATAAGAGCAAAAAAGACAGGTCTGTAGTCTATGATATTTTGTGTTATTATTTTGTGTGGGGTTAAGAAGCCGGTTAGGGCTGGGTTAAATTGCTGGAAAATAGAGTTAGGTGATTAAAAGAAGTGTACTTACTTTATAGTGTACGTTAGATGAAAAGAAACAGATAGAAATGATACAGTTCTTTTATGATTAAATAAACGCTTTCTTAGGCAAGCTGATGGAAATCTAGGATCCTTATGGATATTTAATCTTATGAAAAGTTACTACAACACAAAACTCACATGGGTTACTTCTTCAGCAACTTGCCTAGACTTGGTTTTTAACAACTTTAACTCCAAAGAAATCAAAATTTCCGTAAATGAACTAGGTTTGTCGGACCACGAAGGCATTTTCATTACGTTAACGTCACCCTTTGAGGAGGGGATTATTAAATGCGCGACACCTAAATTCGTTCCAGTAAAGACTTCAACTAATTAACTGAAGTGCAACGTCGGGGTTAGCCCATGTAGCGCCCGGGTGCAGTAAATACTCTGGCGACTGTGTGTGTCCATGGCACCCGCGACACAGGGTTTGCCTAGTGCGGGGCTATGTTGAGTGTGTGCGTTATTTATTATTTATTATTACCTCTAGTAGGCACGCGATCAAAATGGAATACGTACAGTTATATTTCCTCGAGTGATCAGAAATACGGGTGTTAATGGTGCAATTATAAATGAAATTGGGAAGCAATGGCCCATTTACTTCGCTTGCGCTTGCGAGCGATTCAAGCTCTTTTGAGGCGTCGCGGTCACGAGCGGTGCTGAATGTTCTCTAAGACCTTTTTTGACGGGGGAAATCTTTATAGATACCCCTGAGCCCAAGGAGACTCAGAGGTTATATGGGGACTACCCCACTAAAACCCCCCGGGTATACCTCTCGCCGGTTGAGTCGGCGCCGTGGATTCGGCAAACATTCACCACGACGTTCCCTAAGACCCTGCGTCCGAGTGCGCCGCACACCATGCACAATATGCTACTATTTTAAAAATGTCAACGAAAATGTAATAACTTTTTAAAAACGCTTACCTATTTAATAAATAAAGTTAATAAAAAAAAACCATGGCAACTACTAGTCTAAAAAAGTGTTGTAGACATAAATTAAAAACTTTCATTACTTAGACCGATTACATAACATTAAATATGAAAAAATAATAAATCGTTCAAGTCTATGTGGAGAGTAATAAAATAACACCAAATAAACTAACAAAACGCACTAATAAAAAAGGTTATCTACACTCAAATTTAACAATAAACTGGCAGAAAAATCTAGAACTGTGACAAATATTTCAATGACTAGATACTTCTCTTCCTTAGGAGACAAAAATGCCCAAGCAGTTGGCGAGCCGATTATCGACCGCCCAATAAACTCTTACTACTTAACTCCTTTTAGATAGATCGATAGATAGATAGATAAGATGTTTATTGTTTTGTATCACACACACAATATTATATTGTTGTGTATGTGATGATACCAGCAAATGAATTTAAAAAAATACACAGAAATCAAAATTAAAAATAATCTTAAAAATAAATAGTTTTAGACGCGATTACACAAAACAACAGAGTACACTGTCACAAGGCAGTGTCTTTGCTGTTCAGTATTTACATAAACGACTATCTAAAATGCTTATTTTGAACACTGCGCCCTCTTCACAGACTACATCTCCTTTGTGTTCCCGCTTAAGGACGACGTAAATACATTTAATTCCCATCTTAATGCCATCCTAAATAAAGTAACTAAATGCGATCCATAACTAAACATTAAATATTTATAATAAATATATTTAGTAGCAGACTCTATCTCAATTTGCTATATACTATAAATGTAACGTAAAAACAGTTTAATATCAGTACATTGAAAAAGTTCATCCAGGAAAGTAATGCCACGTTACCATTTCTGCCGCCAAGCAAGAATGTGAGGATTGCTATGTTTTGATTTTGAAGGGTGGTGGTGAAATTATAGGCATGTGGGACTTTTCAATTATTTTTCAGGATGAAGGGCGCAGTGGCTTCCGAGCTTTACGATTTAAAGCTCTGAAGCTACCACCACGCACCTGGTACATTAATCGTCCGTCTTATCACTTGATGTAAAAAAATAAGGATAGGTTCAAATTAATGCCATTCCACCATTACCAAAGGAGCAACCTCAACACCGACTTCTCATACGACGATAGAGCCGTGAAATGTGTAGGCACATCCATACTACCTGGCCTAGAAGTTGATACATATGTCAATTGGAAGGTACATACTCAAAAATACGCTCCAAATTGTCTAGCTCGCTTATGCAATAATTACAAATAAAAAACCATCGATCTTAAAAAAGCTCTAAGCTGCGACTGTAGTGACGTCATGGGGCAATAGTGCGGACGTAGCTGAAGTTTTTATATACCTACCAAAAGAAATGTGTAAGAATACTAGCCAACCTCAAGTGGACAGTGAGCTGTAAACCATATTTTCCCAAAATGTAATTATCTTGCCATCGATTCCCATCCTAGAATTTTTAAGAAAATACAGACACCTTTTTCCGAACGTATAGCATCCCACAAATTTACGACCTAGACAAAAAATACCCTGTTCCTCCGTCAAAGTTAATATGCATTTATGCCATAAATCTATAATAATGTACCAAAAGCATAAAAAATTAGGTTAACAATAACACATTTAATATAAAACTTAGTAAATACTTGGTCTTGATCCGATCCAAAAATGTTTTTATACGTTAATCAATAAAGTACCATGAATGATTCTTGGTTATGGATCCTTCAGCACTACTCCTTACGTCATATTTATGCTAATAGCCGTAGACTTTGTTTAAAAGTAAAAGTGTTCTATCCTAAATTTCTTTAATTAAAAGCGACTCATGACCCTTTGACAATTGGAGTGTAGCTTTTTTTGTATACATAATGCACAATGTTTAAATTGCATCTATAAGTGTTAATTAATAAAAAATAGTGCTACAGAGAACCACGCGATAAAATGTTTTAAAATATCTAAGTAGCTTACGGTGACCCTGAACTAAGTACAAAGTAAATTATCCTCAATTTGTTCTTCTGTTATAATAGCATTAAACGCAATCGAAATTCTACGGCGTCTTTGCATTTTAAGCTAATGTGAATGAAATATACCTATCTACCGTAACTGCTCTCTGAAAATTCGTTTCTCTCCACAATATTCCCCCTGGGTGCTCTTCAGAGAACAATGACAATTTAATGCCTTATTTTACTACTCGGGATTCATTTATAAAATAATGCAAGGGTTTCTTAGTTTATTTCTATAATCAGGTTCGAATTGTGGCAAAAATATAAAATAATTCCCGCCAATTCACTTTGGTTTCCAATCTGCGCATTAGATTTATCCAAACTTCTACATTGAAAATACTTTAATCACTTTAACTTTCCTTTGTAGAGTTTGTACATATAATTGGGAAAAGTAAACTATAAAATTATTTCCACAAATCAAATTTGATGACCTTTGAAATGTCAATCAAAAATTTGTGACTGTACGTGACGTCAATTAAATTTTTTCGTTTATATATCGTAATAATATATACCTTCAACATTATTATAGTTTGAACATATCGCACACCAAATTAGCAGAAAAAATATAACGGTTATGTTTCCAAAGAAATACCCCGCCGACCAGTCGTCAAAAGTGACATTTATTTTTATTATTTACCGATTAGTAGAGCATGCACCCATAACAGAATAAAAAAAAACATGATATTTGACTTATGACATTATAGAATCCGGTATGCGATATGTACTTATTTGAAAGAACTCTATTTACTATAGACTATTTTACAGCATCGGTGTTATCGAAGACAGGTCGTGTTGGTGGAAAAAAACACGTACAATTCCCCGACGAGCAAAGCTGCATCGAGGAAGCCACTGAGATCCCTGCCCGCGAAATGGATGATGAAAAATCGGGTAAGAAAATGAATAATCAAAACTAAGGGCTCTTTATTTCAAAGACGTACCTGAATATTTTATGTATTTTTAACTCTACTGTTCATTTGTAAGACACAATTTGGAGATTTTTATTTTACTTTTGTTAAAATCGTTTACTAACTCTCTTCACCGACTTTTGTTTTTATATCAAGCCTATCATCCGTGTTATTAGTTACATGATTAGAATTTCTTGTGACCCTGTCCATGCCCTGTCCTAATGAGAATGAGTGTCCGTTATGTACGGTGTTACAGAAAAGTAGTCTTATTGAAGGACCAAAACGCGGACTTAATTTAGAACATCTGTGCAAAATTTCAAATAAAAATGAAATTTAATTAAATTTTCAATAGTGATTTCCATATCGATACGTTAGCGTCACGGGTCCATTACGACCCCTACACTTATGGTAAGAAGAGTTCATTAATAAAAATAGTCATTCATAACATAACGCCATCGCAGTTGCGTCACTCATGTGAAGCGCAGGACATTTCCTGAAAACTAAATGCTGTCAATGTACTCTGACCAATTTTTTGCTTACAATCGGGTTTATTAAAACAAAATATTGTCACTAATATTTATTTATTCCTTTGATACTCGTACATAACGAAGTTACATTACCAGCACATATTGCACCATTGGAAGTGAAACTATTTTTTCGGATCTATTTCGCGTACGCATACACTTGTTTTTTTCAAACAAACCACGGCTGACTGAGATGGTACAATCATAAACCAGTTACACTTAATACGCACTAATACAAACCACCTTATTATGAAGTATGGTTACAAAAGTTATTAATTTAAATACCTTATTTTTAATTTATCAAAGAACTTTGCAAATTTGCTCTACATACGATTTGCAAATATTTTTTTTGTAGGAACCTAGTGCAAAGTTAATATAATCACTGCCCTAGCCAACTTGTTCCTATCTACCAATCCAAGAGATAGGATATTCCGTAGAGACTACGGGCTCGCCGGCAAGACCACAGTGGGTACAGTGGGCGTCCGGGCCGCGTATATGGCTTCCTGTATACAGTATGTCCCCAAAGGAGAGATGAGTTCGGTACGCTTTTTTAATGGTCTAAACAACTGAAATACCGTACACAGTATGTCCCCTCGAAGTGACGAATTAGATACGCCTTGCCAGCTACCACATAAGTTTAAGCGATTGAAAAACCGTATTTCGTAAGTCCATTAGGGAACGAATTAGGTACGGGTTTTCGTAAGAAACACTCGTAAAAAAGTGCCCCTCAGATCTTTGCAATTTCAAGCTCTGAGTGGCACTGCAACTGTTATGGACAGGCGTGCAGCTTACCATCAGGCGCACGAATTGTTCCTCCTGTCATTTGGTACCTATTATAACAAAAAAGTGACTGGCTTTTACCACGACATGTTTGCAGATTATAAAGTTTTTTACGCGACCAATGTATAGAAGAGGACGCACTTACAGTCAATTTCATAAAATCCTACATCCTGTAAAGGGATGCCAAATTTCACGAGTTTCAGAAACTGAGAAATCTTCCTTGTGGGATTGAAATAAGTCTTGACAAACTCACACCTGAAAACTCTTCCGATTTCGTCTGTAACGCCTGTCATATATGCGGTTTGACTGGTCGTGGTTTCACATGGCATCTATGATATTGGTGTGGAAATTTCAACTTGTTTGCATGTAGATCTTGCTTTATATGCTACAGTTCCCTGGCCAGATGACTCCTATCGCAGACAAAGCAACAAAGATTTGCCCACGTTAACTAACTGGCTAGGATGATAGTGGAAATAATTATGGGTTTTCTTTTTAAATACATTGTGGCCTAAACGTGGTACCTTAACGTTCTTGAATTACTTAGTTTAAAGGATTCCTGACAACACCTTAACACCGCAACGTTGGTTAATTTGTAAAAATAAATATATGCGGTTCAGATCTGAAAAAATAATTTCATTTGCAATATATAGCAATCGCGAAAACCAAAGAAGTCGAAATTTATTGCTAGCTCAGGTTTGCATGTGCACGTACGTATTTACTTCCAATTTTAATATATTTTTATTTCAGATACTGATAAGGACGTGTTCCAATAACTTTGCTGTTTTCCACCCCAGCTTTGTTGTGATTTATTACTATAACTCCCTAACAACAACGACAACAAACACAACAGCAATTAAAAAAAATAATATTAAAGTAAATTTTAAATGTAATTATCAAAAACAACAAAAAAATACTTGAGGAGCCATTTTCGCAAAACTATGGTTATATTGGTTGACACAACACTTTTATGTCATTATTCCAATTTAAAAAACAGATGTAATTTTTTTTATTATTATTCTGCTAAGCTCTTCATTTCAAACTTATATCGACCAAAAAACTTGAGGTTGATTAAATTTTCTGGGAATAAAGCACCAAGCTCCATATTAATTCGGTACGAGTTTTTTCGATTTTCTGTAGTTACTGCTGCATTTTGGAAAAGCGGCAAAGCTACATAGATATTGCCTTGGGTGTCTGTTAAAATCATTTAGTACTAAAGTTCTAATTTTTTGAGTTAGAAGCATGTAAAAATCGAAGAAATTTAAAGTGAAATTCCCCCAAAAGTATATAAAATTGGCACGCTGAACTTTTTGTCCTAGCTTTGGATAATTATCTCGCATCACTTGCTTGCAGCTTCGCTCGAAATGTCCGGTCTGAGAATATTTTTGAACACTGAACTTACTAATACAGGGTGTCATGTGGGTCGAATATATTTACTAAGTAGTGCCTTATGCTATTAGCACCTCAAATTAAAAAAAACTATTATCCACTCTTGCAGGACACCTGCACGTAGAGATTTATCGAATAAAATCTTTTGTACTTTTCAAAAAATTTAAATTACTGTACTTCAAAATAATATACCTAATTTAACTTTGCATATTGTTTAGTTGTAAGCTAGTTACGTATGTACATGATTGAATTCAAAGCATTTTATTTGTTATATAATTGTCTGTTCGGTAATTTCGTACCGGTTTTCTAGCTTTGCACTTGGTTGTATTTACATTCATTCAAGACTTGTGTTTATTATTCAAACAAAACCATTACACATCTTGGTTACCATTCGAAAACTTTTTAGTTTACCTTTGTAGTTCAAAAAATTGTTCAGTTTTTATTTCGGAATCCAATGTCTAGTGCCTTCCTATCCTAATTGTATAATATTAGAAAGTACTTGTTACAAAACTCAATAATACAAATCGATATATAAAATATAACATATATGAGATTGGAATTTCTTAGACTTTAGCATGCCAGCCTTCCCCGTTTTCATTTCCTTCGAAGTTGTTATTGCAAGTTGAGAACGTTTGCTAGAACAAATAACACAGAGCCTTTCTACAGCCTTCCATTCAATACGTCGCCTTGTAGTAACGATGCCCTATAATATATAATATACCTACAGTATCTCGCTAACGAGAAGAATGGCATTTTATCTTTCAAGACGTCGCTACTCACCGTTTTCTCGTAAAAATGTTTATCCTGTTTTGTTTTATATTCTTCTTAAATAACTTGTTCTCGTAGGATTTTTAAAATACAATTTCATTTTTCAACAATATTGTACTTCGTTTTAAGTATCACCTTTAGTCACGATGGAAGTATTTTGACAAAATTCTGGCCCACCATTTTTTTCCCCTATTTTAGTTCGGAAACTAGCCTTGCATGTTTGTAAAGACATTCATGATGCATTGTTAAGAGACACAGTAAAAAAATCAAAAATATGCGTAATTCGGCGATTTAAAAAAAAGAGTGGTCAGGGAACTGGTAAATTAAGGGAACGTATATAAAACGAAACAAATCACAATAAAATCGTTTATTTTTTAGTTTTAGTTAAGCAAAAAACCCCCAAATACTGGTGTACATTAATTTTTCAGTCTCAATAAATTACTTTAGTTTAGGGGAAACAAAAGTACTTAACTAAAACGACAACTTACTAATTATAAAATACTTTCTAGTCAACCTGAACAGGATCACATTTTCGTAAAATCCAGCTACTTACAGAGTATAGTGGTTACTGACGAAAGCACTCATCAGGGAACTGAAAGCTTGACTGATCGCGACACAATTTCTTACGAACTGAGCGGATGTCGTGTCGTCTCTTGTGGTTTGATGCGAACTTCGCGTCGTACTACGAAAATAGTACTATTTGTGATAATCTTGGAGACCGCTTTCTGCAGGGGCCTGATAACACATAGCCTTGGGTGTAAAATAAGCTGAATAATTAGGTTGAATATATTTTCTTGTACACAACGACTTATTTCGTGACTGTAAACTTCTAATTGATGCTTGGTAATTCAGCGTTTAAACACGTTTTTGTATTTCATTAGGGAGTTGCGACACACCAGGGGACTGAGGTTTTGAGACTTCAAAGTCATCTTTTCGTAAAAAAAAATTATTCCTTACATCGCCAGTTTCAGTGACCAGATTGTTAACTATGTAAATAAAGGTGTAGATATAAAAATAAGTGATATAGGAAAGAAATTTCACAGATATTTTTGGGGCCGTCGAAAATTCCATCATGATTATCACGTGTCTTACAGTATTTTTATGTTAATTAGAAAGATAGACGGGTGCATAATCGTTGAAGTAAATACCTCATAATAAATAAACAAAGAATTTTACGTGTTCGTGTTTATTTTTAGAACTAATGTCAAAATTCAAATAATCAAATTTAGGCCTGAATGTAAAGAGTCCTTTATTGAATATTATTTTTTTAATGGCAAGATACCACTAATTGGAATTAAACCCGTCTGTTGATATATATAATTAATTACATCTAACAGAGACTCGCGTGATCAGTTCGTTGTGGATGGAGCTTGAGTCGGAGGCGCAGACGCCGGAGCGCTGACGCCGGCGAAGCGAGCAGTTCTACCGGCCGGTATCGCGCGCGCGTCTGGAGCGCCGCAAGATGTCCGCCGCCGGGGTACCGCCCGCCGAAACCAAGACTAAGGACTCCTACTTGTAAATTCAGAGACTACATGACTGAGATGTACATAAGTGCGCACGCGCTTCATCAATTTAATTGAAAAGATGAATCACATAATAAGGATCAGTATACTGTACAAGGTACCTTTACTATTCGTAATCAGGAAAGTGATGTTTCGATCAGTTGTACCGGTTTTTTCTTTCTTGGTTGCGGACTACATAGGGTTACTGCTGGAATAGGTATGAGCATCTGAGGTCTGTCGCAGACTACTTTTCTTAGCGGATTGAGAAGTTTGTCTATAAACAAATGTATTGCAGTAGTCTGCTTCAAGTCGCGTACCCGAGGTACCTGCATAATACCCACAATAAGTACCATTCAGTAACAGCTAGAATGCTGGGTAGTCTACTTATATAATCATGATAACGTCATTGCCTCTGAGGGTATCACGTATCAAAATACGTACTATTTACTCACGAACGTAGGCAAATCTTATAATTATTATGTCATTCAATGATCATAGATAGATAGATACATGAACATAATGTTTTTAAAGAAGTGAAAAGTAACATAACAACGTTTTGTAGGATGATGTGTTAATTCAGTCAATGTATCTTAATAAGTTACGTGGTGAGGGGATAAATTAAATCGCCTTGAAAAACATTAGTGGTAATTCAGAAGCAACTGACGTAATTCAGAAGTTGCTGGAGTAATATCAAGAATACGACTCAATGACTTACAGCGCAGATTCACCAAAACTTAACACCTCTACAGAAGCGAGCTTATAAATGGTGCAGTTCTGATAGAAAATTTTAAGAACACAAATTGCCACTAAGACTTAAACTACTTAAACCCGACAAAAACACACAATGAACTTAACTTCAAACAGCGAACCTGTCACTCCAAACTCCCAACATAATTCTAGTTAGTGGAACAAACTGCCCAAGAAATTATACATGTTTTACGCGCCTATTATCTATGTAATAAATAAACCAGAGAAACTGGTACACACTAAGAGGCATTTTATAGAATTTAATACGATAACTTTATCAGGATGCAGACATTTATATGTTGTGGAAATTTCGATCGTGGAGTGAATGATGAATGAATGAATGATCATTTGTGTTGTGAAATCGGCGAAAGGATGCAAATCCTAATCGTTGTTCCAAATAATTGAATAACGAATTAGTAACCAATTACCTATCTTATAAATGTATTCCAAAAATGCGACCAATTTGTAGTATTGGACAGGTTTAATTATCACCCAGCGCTGGCATGATAAATGTGTGTACATAATTATATCAATGTTTTATGATAGTACATTATGTGCATACGCTTTTATCTAATTATTAGGTTCACCACAGCGCGTGGGATCTTCTGGGTAAGTACTATGTACAAAAGCACAATCAAGACTGTTAATTGATATTAACATTCTTTATTGTAATTCATCAAGTCTAAACTGCAACAATTCAGTCTTTCGCTAAACCTACTACAGGAAACAGCTAAACTTTTCCCATGGGTCCTTAAATGGATGAAGAACCTTGGCCATTCATAAAAGAGCTCTTCCGAGTTACGAAAAATGACTAACTTTCCTCTTCAGACAACTTTTCCTCACAGCAACTAAATAAGTGATAGGTAGGTAAGTACACATTTTATGTTTAGTGGACCATTGAAGGATTCCACAAAGCACTACGAAGTATTGGCCGAGATTCTTTTATAGTAAAATGATTTATAACTTCCTTTGGAGGACAACTATTTTGTAGTGTAACGCTTGAATAGAAATCGTAATCGACTTTCGGTACGTAAGTATACTGCCGATGTTATTGAGAACAAATTCTTTGTATGTCGTTACATCTTTTCAGGAAGAATAATGGTAGATCCAACCAAATTTTATTTCACTTCAAATAATTATTCTTTATTGCAATCATACACAGTACAAATATAAGAGATGCTAAATGTAACAGATGAAGACCATGCACTAGATACAAAGCCTTTCATATCACCAATGCTGGATTTTAGTAGATTTAAATCAGGATCAAAAAAAGCTACGGTCATGAGAAGAATTGTAACTTAGGTTCTTAAGTGTACTATTTCATGCTGGTGTTAAATTACATTCTACTTCTATTAACAATATTTAATAGTACATTGTGTTATAGGGGCGGCAAGTAAGCAATTACGAACAGACAGTCATTCAAAGCCCGAGCAGAAGGCGAGTCTTACAATATGGCACGAACGGTTGTTGCTACTGTTTCCTTTTTGCTGTTTCATCACGGTGCGGCGTACAATGGTTTTCATCACACTCGCGAGGAAGTTTAAAAAAATGAAAATTATACTTAAAAAATGTTATAGTTTATTTATATTATATTTACACATTTTAAGCATAAAGAATAATATTTTTTTAAGATCAAATTTTTTCGCTTTAAATTTACGTTTCAATTAACCAAAATTTCTTTTAAATATGCTAAAGTACCGTATAAAAATGATAAATGAAATAAAGCCGGCTGTATTTATATTACTTTTAATAAATGAAATCAAAAAGCCGACTGTTTTATGGGGTCGGAGCGCGAATTTGGGGCGAGACGGGGTGGCGTTGGCCGAGCAGGGAGTTTGTCCGCGCTCCTAGCGAGTGACGGGAGGGTAGAAATTAAAAAAACCATTACCGTTCAGATCCGCAGGTATAATAAAAATACCGCATAATTTTGCTGCACGTTATTTATATATACCACTTAAGAAAAAGTGTGATGAAAAGTATTTACAAGTATTTAACAACGGAGTTTTATTAGAAAATGGAAGCACAATGAAACGAATGCAAGAGTTCTAAACCCTTTGAAAAATTTTCCACAATCTCATTAAAAACAGGATTCGTATAATATCCCTGTAAACTACAATAGACAATACCGACCAATCTGTTAACCTCCGTCTCACTTCGATACTCCAAAAAGATTGGGTTTGCAAAAATTCGCGCCGCGTCGCGTAGTGTCTCCGCAATATGAATCAACGCTAATGTGCTCCAACATATAAACGTATTTCTCAAATTTAAGATTAGAATATAATAATTTAGTTCATATTATCAATGTTACAATATAACAATTTATAATACAACGTCAAGGGACAATATGATCGTTATTAATATAAATAATAATAGTGAATGTAAAACTAAAAAGGCATACCTAAGAATATACGAGTATTTATAAATAGTAATAATAATGCACACACTCAACATAGACCCGCATTAGGGAAGCCCTGTGTCGCGGATGCTATGGACACACACATAAACAACCACAAATTACACCCAAACTCACGAGAGAAATAAATGTAGGCCGTGGTATAATATTTCTCCCGGCGCGGGAATCGAACCTGGGACCTCTGCGTGGCAGCCCGGCATGGTAACCGTTCGGCCACAGAGGCAGTTAAATACACAAAATATTATCGAAGTACGACGACGACGTCAAATCAAATTAAAAAAAGATACAATTTCTTCAATCCTCTACACTGTAAAATACACCATGCAATAAAAGGAGTTTTAGTCGGGTGTAAAACATTTCGTCGTTTGTCTTTTTTTGCGGTTAGGTGTTCGTAGAATCTGGGACCTTATTACTCACGGGTTTCACGTCGCAAGTTCGCTACAATCGGTAACAGATTTTAGTCGAAACGCGAGTTATCCATCAACCAGCATATCAAGATTTTCAATTTAAAAAAATGAATGATCTCTGATCATTATAGGATCTGTCTCGTGCGCTTTTTAATTTGAAATTAGTGCCTAAAACCACGTACATACATTTTTGGGCATTTTGGGCTTCCAATTTTAATAAGACCAGTCACATGTCGTGAAGACTATTTGTGGATATCGCCGTTGTACTTGATTTTAATAATAAAACATAGTGAATATAAAAAAGACTAGACCCCCTTATAGGAAACGACGATGACAGATTCACTCTTTTGATCGATTCATTCCAGTATCGTTGATCTATTGGGTTGGCCAAATGTCCGTCCGATATCAAATAAATAAAAACACTTCATCAATTATTGGCCTCGTTGATTTACAATGTTTGTCAACTTTCGGGTGGTAAATTTGAAATTTTTCCTTTCATAAAAATTCCTATCTTTACTTATAGAATACAGCTGTAAATGTCGTTTGATGGTCTCTTAATTATCAAAGTCGTGTCCATTCAAAGAATTTTGTAAAGTAAGCAAGTGAAAATCTGAAGAGACTGTTTGTCTGGACAAAATAATATAATCAGGAGGACTCGTCTGCTCGTGTGAGAGGCTGAGCTAGGACTGCCGTTGTCGCCTTCTGTCAACAAAAAGCCAATATTAGTTTGTATTAATGTCAGTCTAGTGAGTCTGTCTTTGTGGTCAGTCAGTCCGCTGGTTATTAATGGACGCGTCAATGGTGGATGAGGTAGCACATCCCAACATAACTGCAACAGTGTTTGACGGATTAGTAAAGATGTGTGTTCAAGTTCGAACACTTGTGGTTTTAGCATTATCATGATGAAATGAGACACCTTACAATTAACCAGTTTGGACTTTTTTCAAAATAGCTTCTGATAGACGAGCATAGTATAATGCGATAATAATCTATAGATTTTAATTTATGAAATAGTGTATTTCTAACAAGGAAATAAAAATGTAACTATAATTTACGACCTTCGTGGTCGAGTGGCTTGCACGCTGGTTTTCATGGTGCCGCCATCTCTGAGGTCCCGGGTTCGATTCTCGGCCGGGTCAGTGTAGAAACGAACTTTTGTATAATGTCTCGAGTCTGGGTGTTTGGTACTGCGATGGGAAAATCCATTCACGACTTCACAACTTTTTCAAGTGTTTTAGTACTTGTATTAAACCTCGGCCTAAAGTTATAAGCCGAATCAATATTTTTTACTTGTGTATTAGTAATATGTTACACTACGTGCAGAATAAAAAAATGTACGATTCGCCGTTATGGTCGTGTTTTATAAGTTTGCTAAACTCATCTCAACATGCTCAAACCTAGCCGCACACCGCGCGTCATCATTAGGTACCACTGCCTGCTGTGATATCAATAGAAATAGTTCTGAATCGGACTTAATTACCACTACATTGTTATTGTTCAAACTCGGCAAAAACACAACACTCGAACTTCAAAGAAAAGAATTGAACGAGAACAAAAAACAAGAATAAAATTTTAATAACATAATTGAACATAATTCGGACATTGACAACCTAAATGAAACAATGCAAACTTGAATTGAATTTACGAAGGCGCATTATACCTTTGCAAAAGCAAAAACGGTTTAATTAAAACTTTATTCTTTATGGCAAAATTACTGCGTACAAATTTGTCCATATAACGACAACGAGCCCAAGACG